TGATTGAGAGAATATCACAAATGAGTGTCCTTCACAGTCAATGAGTATTTGATAAAAAGTTCAACAATATGAATGAGATTATTCACTATAAGGCTCACTGAGTTGTCTGTGAAAATCTTCAACAGAAGAAAGTCAATTACTCAAGACTCTTTGCACTCATTATCTCAGTATTCATCTCACAAGCTCTCATGACAATCTCAGTATCTCAGGGATGATATGTTCTGCAGATTGATATGATGATCACTTTTTTAAACATTCAACTACCTGCTGATGAACAGATATATATGAATCAACTCACAGAATTCTGTGAAGACTGTGATAATCTTGTGTGTGAATTGATGCAGAGACTCTATAGTCTTAAGCAAGCAGCACTCTTATGATATGAGAAGCTGTGAAAGATGCTATTACACTCAGACTTCTGAGTCAGTCTCTATGATACTAGACTATTTATTCATGATGAAAGACAGGTCTATATAATCATCTACATGAATAATGTCTGTCTCTATAGCTCAAAGATTGATGATCTGAACTGAGTCAAAGCTGAAATCACTGCTAATTATAAGATTAAGAATGTAGAAGATTTCAACTGCTATCTAGAAATGAAGATTAATAGAGATTTAACTTCATTGATATTGTCTCAATCTCTCTTTGTAAGAAATCTTCTGAAGAAGTTCTCAATGAATAACTGTCATTTTACATTCACTTCTATGAAGGAGAATATCAATTTTATGAATAATGATGAGAAAGTGATTGCATACATAGCAGAATTTATTCTACAGTTCTATCAATTCAGTATCAGATCTCTGCAATATCTGGCATTTAATACACATTCTGATATGAGCTTCACTGCAGGATTCCTTGAACAATTCAGCTCCCGGCCTACATCAAAGAACTGGGCTGTATACAAGTATACACTCTGATATCTACAGAGTTCAATCAATGAGAGTATAACCTATCACAGAGGTGCCGAAATTGAACCTGTGGCATATACAGATGCTGATTGAGCCGGTAGGGATCCAGGATCCTGTTCAATCACCGGTTATATCATCTACATGGCAGGTGGCCTCATTGCATAGCAGAGCTGCCGGCAAATGAAGGTCTTCAAGTCATCAACAGAGGCCAAATATATTGTATTCTCTGAGACTGCATATGAGCTTGTCTATCTTCATGAGCTTCTAGAAGACACTGAATTCATCTCATTCTGTCTCAACAATCTGAATGCTGATGATTATCTCATTTCCATCACAGTCAAGGATCTGGCTTATACAATTCATGCTGATAATAAGTCTGTCATAGAACTATCCTCTTTTGAAGCAATTTCACACTGCTCAAAGCATATAGAGATCTGTTTCCACATTCTTCAGAATCTCATCTGCAAGAATGAGATATCTATTTAATATGTTTCATCTGCTGAGAACGCGGTGGATGGGCTTACTAAACCACTTGAAATGTTGAAATATACGCGTTGAAAGGAGATTATGAAGATGAAGAGATAGAGGAATAAAAAATGATGTATATCATGACTGGTTTTTCATTACTACACATTTTCCAGTCATTTTTTATACCTGTACTTGATTTGAAGGCGAATTTTGTATATACCATCCTGTATAGTTACTCTGGTGAGTGGGGATGTCAGGTCACGTGATCTGGCTTACTAATCCCTCCACCATATAACTGTTCACAAGCTAGCAACCTTTCAATCACACAAGCTTTACACCTTTCACACAGAGAATATTCATGTCTCTTTCAAACTATTTCCTCTTTTATGAGATTTTATTTCAATGAGTTTGAAAGCTTTCACTATTGCAAATAGTTCAGCATCAAAGACTTCAGATTCACAGTCTAAATTCTAGAAATCTGAGATGAAATTGATATTATCTTCAGTATAAGCAATACCTGTGCCTAATCTATTTAAATTCTCATTTTTAGAGTCATCTGAATAAATCAGAATAGAGTCTTCTATATTGATTGTGAAAATTCTCTTCAAATGCTGTTTATATTCTTTCTTCTTAGATAATTCACTTATTTGTAAGTCTATAAGAGATTTAAGCTTTTCTCTTCAGAGAGATATCTTCTCATGATTAACTTTTTCAATATTTAAAGAAGAAAATTGATCTTTAATCAGAGAGCATAGTCTGTACAGTTAAGAAGACATTTTCTTTGAAGAATTATTTTCATTTCAATCAAGAAATCTATTCTAATCCAGTTCATTTCCAGAGTTAATTGATGAAAATGAAGAAGAGACTCTTTCTCTGATTATATAATTTGAGCTCATCTTTATAACTCTCAAAGCATAGTTCATACAGGCCTTTTCAAATCTAATAGCAGAAGAAGGAATTGAAGATTCAATTTCTATTGCTTTAATAGAAGATGATTTGAATGCTCTCAGAATTCTTCTCAAAGCTCTGTTTTACAGACCTTGAAAGAGTTCAGTGAAATTCTCTTGATTATTTCATCAAACTTGAACTTTTTAATCAGCTACTGAGATAATACAGGCTATATATAACTGTCTCATAGCCTGGAAGAATAGATCTCTCTCTGTATTTGATAGTCTGATTATGTTGTTCAATAGTCTTTCTGTCTTGACAGTTCTTTATTGAATATGATATTTAAAATTCAACTTGAAGCTTAATCATACTTCTAATCATTTGATATTTACACTGAGTTTAATCTTTCTATTTAAAAGAGTTAGAGATAGTTCTTTCTCATTGAATCTAGAAAAGAAATGAATTAACTCAGTTTTATTCATATTAAATTGAATTTGATTAATATCTGCTCTAACAAAGAGTTTCTTTACAGCTTCTTTAATCACTTTCAAATTCTCTTTGATAGTTTTTAAGCTGTAGACTAGATCAATATCATTCACATAACTTGAAGATTGTACTATTCTCATATTTCTATCTTTGAATAGATATGCAGTGTATATTACAAATAAAATGAGTGAGATTGAAGATTCTTACAGTACTTCTATTTTTATCTCAGTCTTGTCTTATTTCATTTCATCAAAGAAAAGTTATATAATTCTTTTAGATATAAAACAGTTAACTCATTTTATTAGAGAAAGTGACAGTTTTAACATTCTCAAAGTCTGAATTAACTTTGACTTTGAAATGTGATCAAATGCTTCTTTTATATTAATAAAAACTGCAGTTGAGACCAGATCTTCATACTTTACTATTTAAAAATCATGAATAACTGAGAGAACAGTGTTAATTACAGAACATTATTTGCTATCTCTTATTTATTCACTGAATAAAAGAGAATTACTGATAGAGCTTATAGAAGATAGTTGAGTAGCTATTATCTTTTCTAAAACCTTTTCTAGACAGTTCAATAGAGATATTACTCTATATAACTTAGAAATTGAAGTTTTTCTATTAGATTTCACAAGAATCACTTCAGTGACTTCTCTTCAGCATTCAGAATAATATTCATTTTTCAAGAGATTGAAAAAGAGCTCAAAATATTCATTCTTTAAGTAGAAGTATGTATTTTGAATAATCAAGTGACTAATTGAATCAGGCTCTGCAGCAGTTTTAACTGAACTTGAGAAGATAGCTGACTCTAATTCATCTTGTGTAAGATCAGATCATTCTCAGTTATTTTTATTAATATAGTTGAGAAGTCATATATTCTCTTTCTCTGAATCTGAATCTGATGAGTTTTGAAAGAGAGTTCTTATAAAAGCTTGATATTTTTTCTCAAAAGAGTTTGCTGAATATAATTCATTCTGAAACTTATATACTAAGGTTGAAAGTTTTGTTACACTTCTTATTTTAGTATAGTTGAAAGCTTTAAAGACTTTCTTTTCTTATACTTCTTCAAGAAATTTATTCCAGCAGTTCATTTTAGCTCTTTTAATATCTGAAAAATATTCATTTCTGACAGTTTTGAACTGTTTATCAGAAATTATATCATTGTTTCAATCTCTTCTAGTAGTAGTCAATTGTTTTCTTTTAGATATGATATTCTCATTTCATCAAGATTTTGAATACTTAGAAGACTTTCTCTTTGAAATATTATCTTTAATACTTGCTAGAATAATAGATGTAATGTGCTTCACTCTATTCTCAAGTCTTTCATTTGAGATATCTTGACCAGGATTTCAATATAGCTCACTCTGTCTTTCAGATTTTAACAGTTTTATACTTTCTTCAACTGTTCTTCAGTCAGCTTTTTCAAAGTTAAACTGATTAGAGAGAAGAGGATTTTCACTCATTTATTTCTCACTCAGTTCAATATTAAATTGAATAATCTCATGACCTGATTCTGATGTCTCATTTGAATTCATAAATCAGTTTACAAGTCTTTTTTTCATTAGCTTTTATGACATGAAGATTAGATCTATAATAGATTTCTATTTCATGTCTTTTATAAAGAATGTTTGTTAATCAGACTTACTAATCAAATCTATTGAATACTCAAAGATTCATTCAATCAGATTATCAGCTCTTACTACTCTCTTATATTCTGAATTTCATCAGAGATGATGTGTATTGAAATCTTCTACAATTATAGAGTTTCTTGATAAAGTTATATTCAGAAATTCTCTGTCAATTGTTCAGATATTGTTATTTTTCTTCAATAACTTTTCATTATAGATATTTATAAGCTATATAGTATCAAACTCATTTTCTTTATCTATAATATCATTCACCAGAATATCAGCGTCAGACATGATATCAAATCTTAGATTAAATTAATATGTTACTCTCTTTCTTTCATAGATCACTACTCTTGACTTTATCTCAGACTTTTAAGGTAGAAAGCAGTAGTAGCTTAAATAAGAAATACTATATTTTTACTCAGCATCAAAATTCAGTTTCTGAAGTAGTATAAATTAACTTTTTATTCAAATACAATTGAAAGATAAGAATAAATACAATTTGAGTTTCTATTCACATTATTTTGAATAAATGTGATTTTTGAAGAGTTTTTAAACTTTTTTTATTGTTTATATTGTATATTCATACTAAAAGAGAGTAGAGATAGAGTAGAATCTAATCACTATCATCAGATAGTAGATTATAACTATTTTGAAAAGTAGGAATCTCAACTGCTTGCATTATATCTAGTTTATTATCAGTGTCATTTCTCAATTCTCTAATCTTAACAGAAGTTTGAGGATTCAAATTCTATTTACATTTAGCTGAAGAATTGAAGTTTGAAGATTTAAATAGTTGAGAGTTTCTTCTTTTTAAGCTTACAGTTGTAAGTTTACTGACTTGACTCTTCTCTTCAGTTCTAGATTTACTTTGTGTGGCGGGCTGCGCCCGATCAATTATATAGACTATTCCATTACACTCCACAGATTCCAACCCCTTCATTCTCGAACGTGTACGCTCCGATTCTCGGCCATTCTCGATCGCCGATCCTCGGCCGCCACGAACGCGTAGGCTCCGATTCTCAGCCATTCTCGATCACCGATCCTCAGCTGCTACGAACGCGCGTATATTCTTCCGCCCCGAAGCTCCACCGCATACACCATCACATATGTGTATAAATATCCACCTCAATCACTGATTCTCACACTTTCTCTTTCTTTCCTTCTTTGACATTTTTATCTTTGTTATATAAGACCTATCAATATTATACTGATCTATTCAGCATAGGCCTCTTACACTATAAAAACATTCATTATCTTCTCATTAGAAATGATTATTCATTAAGAGATATTTGAATGTGTAACAATGCATAAGAAATAGAGAAACAGTTAAATAGTTAAGTAAACACTGAGTTCTCAGATAGTTCTCAGATAGAAGCTTGCTTATCAGTCACTCTGACTCTGCAACAAGATCTTATAAAGAGAATAAGATTTTACAAAGAGAATGTCAGTGAAAGAGCTGAGAGTTCTGACACTCAGATATATAAGAGATTTATATAATTACATATTCAATGATTGATATAACCATGTCTAATAATAATATGAAACTCTTGAACGCGAGCATAGATGCGATATCACAGTGACTCTGAGCAATGTTGAAATTACAACAGTAACAGATAGCAGACATACATGTGACTCAATAACTTCAATATGAAGAGAGTCAATAATTAACTCATGCAATTTCAACATCTACAGAATTAAGTACAAAAGTGCTGAAAGAATGCTTAGATGCTTCTGTATATTTTAATGCTTCTAATCTCACTCTCTACTCATCATGAAGAATGAAAATACTCACAAAACTGAGTGTAGATAAAGATTTCATCAGTTCATTAATCAATCAAGATTAGTATATCAATCAATAATTGAAGAATTATATGAAACAGAAGTTTCATTCATGAATGAAAGTATATGAATCAGTATTATGAATGTCTGATAATATTATCAAATATCTTGATATTCTGTTCTGAGACACTGCCATGCAACAGAAAGTATTAGAATCATTATAGAGTGTCTGACAGAGAAACACTTCTCTTATAACATTTATTCCTGACTTCAACATCAAGATTCTAGAAGCAGATAATCAATCTTGAGAGAATTAAATGAAGACTAGCATGCTTAAGAAGATATTAACTTTTGAACTCTTACAGACTCTTATAAGTGTAAATGAAGACCAGACTTATAAAGACTGCTATACACAGCTCTGAACAATGAATGACTGTCTTATCAAGCTCAAGAATATACAGAACAGTGACAGAAGATATTATGTCTCAGTGACTCATACATCTGTGCTGAGGAATAACAATGATGTAGATATTATGAAGTGAGTAGACTTAAATGTCTATATATAAGCAAGAGTCTCTGCTGTCTGAACAGACTTCTGAGTTTCTGAGATCACTTCTGAAGAAGTCACTGATTGATGTCAATGTGAAGTGTACATCAACTGTAACTAATCAGAACACATTGCTTTCAACTGCTGATTAATCTATGTGTCTTCATACTCAAGAGAAAGATCAGCATCTTCTTATGCAAAGAATGAATCAGCATCTGTCTGCATCAATCATGTTACATTAGAGAAAGATTTGAAAGATAACTATGAGAATGCTCTGATAAAACAGGAAAAAGATTAGCTTCTGTTTAAATTCATAAACAGAAGCTTGAAGAGATCAGATAACAATGATTTAAAGAGAAGATGATAATGAATATAATTCTTATATCTACTGTGATTGATAATATATATAATATGAAAGTCATGATAGACAGTAATCTATACTACTATGCAATGATAAAATCTTCAGTTGTAAGATATTATAATCTTCAGTGTATCTCTTTATCAAAACCTCAACTTCTTGCAGGATTTGATGATTCAAAAGACATTTGTACTCATTACATGATAAAGCTAATTATTGATGTGAGAGAACATCAATATAAAGATGTCTATACATATAAAGTTGATAATCTTGATTATAATCTTATATTTGAACTTGTCTGACTATCTGAATAAGACATCTTATTAAATGCTTGAAATAGAAGCTTGATATTCCTGAATAATAATAGAATTCAGAAAGATGATATTCATAAGACTATTGATCTGACACAGATCTCTGTCAACATCTATAAAATACTCAGAAAAAGAAGTTACTGAAAGAATTACTGACAGCAGAATCATGTATTAATCTATTCTGTCAGTCTGATCAATATTAAAAAGACTCTAGAAAAGTTATTTTATATTATAATAACAGATTCTTGTACAAAACTCTCTTAATAATATCATGAATATCTAGATATCTTCTGATAAGATAATATTATGAATAAACTCTTCTTATGAGATTCTGAAGTGAATCACAGTATCAAGTTAAAGAAAAAGAATGATAAGAATTCTGAACTTTCATGAGACTCTCTTTATAACATATTCTGAGATGAACTTCTTCTTCTTTGAAAGACACTCAATGATCTATTGAATAAAGAATTTATATATATTAATAACTCTTCTGCTGCAGCCTCTATTCTCTTTGCAAAGAAATCAGATGAAGAACTCTGATTCTGTGTGAACTACTGAGGTCTGAATAGATTGATAATGAAAGATTGATATCTCTTATCTCTTATCAATAAAACCCTAGCACAGATCAGATGAGCTCAATAATTTATAAAACTAGATATTATCACTGTGTTTCATAAGATTGATATTACTGAAGAAGATGAATAATATACAGTATTCTGAACATGTTATGATCTCTTTGAATGAATAGTCATATTCTTTGAACTAACTAACACTCTCAGTACATTTCAGAAGTATATCAACTGAGTACTCTGAGATTTTCTTATTGAGTTTGTATCTGCTTATCTAGATGACATTCTCATCTTCACTGATGAATTCAGAAAAGAATACTAAGAATATGTGTGAAAGATTTTATAATAGCTATAAGAAGTAGAACTACTGATAGATATTGATAAGTGTGATTTTGAAGTCAAGAGTATCAAGTATCTGAGTTGTATTATAGAAGCTGATAAGAGAATTTGAATGAATTCTGAGAAAGTCTCTGTTATTCTTGAATGAGAAGCTCTGTATACTGTGAAAGATGTATGAAGCTTCATCAGATTTACTAACTTCTATTGATAATTTATATAAAACTTCTCAGATATTATGAGATCACTTACAGATCTTACTAAGAAAGACTCAGTATTTTAATAATCAGTGAACACTGAAGCTGCATTTACATAGATGAAGAAGATATTCATTAATATCTCTCTACTGATACTATTTGATTCTGATTATAAGACAGTTGTTGAAGCTGATTTCTCTGACTATATAACAGAAGAGATAATATTATAATATAATAATAAAGATATTCTATAATTATGTATCTTCATATCTAAGAAACTGAGTCTCACTGAATACAATTATAAGATCTATAATAAGAAACTCCTTGCAATTATATACTGTTTAGAAGAATGAGACTCTGAACTTCACAGTATCTCTGAATTTGAGATAGTCACAGATTATAAGAATCTCAAATACTTCATAACTATCTGTAAACTTACTGAATGACAGATATGATAATCTGAGTTCTTAAGTCACTTTCATTTTATGATACACTACTCTTCTGGCAGTCAGAACTCAATGAAAGATGCCCTCTCATGACAAGAGCAGAATATATCATTCAATGTAACAGATACTCACTGAAAGAATTGAGAGCATCAGCTCTTGAATCTGAAGATACTAGTTAATTAAAATGAAACAGCTCACAGCACTATATATGCTTCTTTGATTAGAACTGTCACTGATATCTCAACTTCTTCTGAATCAATATTAGATGAGCTATAATATACAGCAGCTCAAACTGATAAACTTCTTCAAGCACTCACTGAAGCAGTATGATAAGAAGCACTCTGATTTCTCTCAGAATTATGTGTAAGAACTGACATCTCAGAATATTCAATCAATGATAATAACACTCTATAATTCTATGAATGATACTGAGTCTCTTACTCTGAACTCTTATGCATCTGAATAATACAAGAGATGCATGATTTATATATAACTGATTATTCAGACTGTGAACAACTGTATAGAATGATCTTCTGAGAGTTCTATTAATTTGAGATATTAAATAGTATCAGATACTTTGTCTGAAACTGCAATCACTGTTCTTCTATTATCTCATAAAAGAACTGTAGAAAAGATCTACTGAAATCACTTAATATTTCTAATAGAATCTGATAAGATATAGTAATTAACTTTACTATCAATCTATCTGAGAGTCAGAGTTGTAGAAACATTCTGATCATTATAAATTAATTAAGTAAAGATATAATATTAAAATCTTGTAATAAGATGAATACTGAACAAGTCACTGAAGCTTTTCTACAGAGTCTGTTCTATCAGATATATGAATTACTGAGATTCATAGTATCAGATCAGAGCTGTTAATTTATAAGCACTTTCTGAACTAGAATCTGTTAAGTTCTCAAGATTATATACTGTCTGTTAACTGTCTATCACTCTGAGACTGATAATGCATTAAAAAAGATAATTCAAACTGTAAAGAATTATCTTTATAAGTTCTACAATTACTTATAAGATGATTGATATAATCTTCTTCTACACATAGAGATCACTATCAACATTCAAGATACTGTTTCAATAGATATAAGTCTGTTCTTTCTTATATATGAATATTATATAAAAGTGTTGAATCTTCTAGAGATTACACAGTTCACATTGAACACTCACAGTCTGATTCAGATTGCTGATAATATAATAACAAAGCTCTGAGATGCTCATGATTAAGCAGAGGCCTCTATGATAACTGTGAAACAAGATCAAGAGAACTGAATCAATATTCACTGAGATTTCACAGAATAATATAAGATAGAAGATTTGATATGATTGAATCTTAAGAATATATGAATCACATGTTCATCTCATACACTGAATTATCATCATGTCAGATATAAAGTGATAGAAGTTTTAAGTAGTCACAACTACTGTCTTAACACATTATCAGAGATTTATAATGTATTTCATACAAG